CACACTAATAATAACTATAATCAATACAAAGCTATGAGTGAATAATAACAATTACAATCAATGATAATAAATTATAACAATAAAATAACTATAATCAATAATAATAACTAAGAAAAACTATTGTAAATAATTGGACAATAATGATAATTATAAACAATATTGATAACTATAATCTGTAACACAAAGATCATTGCTAATCAACAATAATGGTTAATGATTAAAAGCAAAATAAATATGCCAAATCAACAATAACCATAATGATACAATAATAATAACTATTCTCAGTAATTATAACTATGACAATAATAACTATAATAAAAACAACTAGAAAAGCACTCAGAGAGTGCAGACCTCCGCCAAGGTGCGTATATAATGTACTTACACCGCTGCTGCGTCCAGACGGTAATTCGGAATGTCAGTGAAATGTGGTACACGTTTACCGTAGATTTGTGTACCAAACTTGTTTATTGATTGAATAATGATAATAATAATAATAACCAGACGGTAATTCGGAATGTCACCAAAATTTAATCAGTTCTAAGTTAGTCCCTTTCTGACTTGTCCCCAAAAATTCGATGAAATCCGGCCAGCACTTTTTGAGCTAGGCTGCTAACAAACAAACCAACGCTGTCAAAAACATAACCTCCTTGGCGGAGGTAATAACAGTAATGAGAACCATAATTCTTAGGCTCAGTTAGCGCTAACAACAATCTTCGTATTACGTTACTCACGTGATTCAATCAAAGGATGATGTAATACTATTTTTGATCGTTGAAACTTCATATCTGTATGACAACATTCTGCCTCAGTATTCATCACTAATCCTGTAAAACCTTACGATGAATCGAATTTATTCTTATTTATATATGTCATCATCATTGATATGTTCATTCATATATATCATAATTGTCCAAGAGCCTAATAGGTTCTTTTAATAGATATTGTATTTCTCGTGTCTATGTGATTTCGCTGGTGTAAGTGTAGTTTCTTTTTTTTTCGTCTACCATTGTTTCTCTCACCCCGTATCTGTGGTGTTGTCCTCTTCTTGTTCAGTGTCCTGTAATGTAGGAATGGCAAAATGGGATTATATGAAACACTTTTTTTCATAAAACTACTTACAAATGGGCTCTAGTTCCTAGGCCCGTTGTCCACAGACTTCGAGGGGGGGGGGCGAACTGGAATGTATAGTTAACTCAGCACTAATACTAGAGATAATATTATTATTATTATTATCATTATTATTATTATTTTTTTTATATAGTTCATACGTTTAGTTAAGCAGTTTTCTTCTAATGTGTTTGTGGAGTCAACACTGATTTACCTTCATTCAATGATACTCCAAGCAGAACTGCCTCCACGGCGGGCAAATCCTGGGATGCCAGGTCACCTATACAAGGGGCTGACTGTTCGGTTGTATGGATGCTGAGGTGACAGTTTCAGGAGGCGATTAGGTATTTTGGCCCTTATCTCGAGTTAAAGTAACCACCAAGTTGGTCTACAAGCACTGGACCCCTAACATAAACACAACTTCTACAACTACAACCTCATTACCACCAAACTCTATTTTGTGGTTTTATTCCCTTAAATTTTCATACCATCATAAGTAACTAAGGGTTACATTTTATAGACTAATTCATCAAATATAACATAACTAGAGTGTCCCGCTTAATCCACGCGTCTTCGAGTGACCGCGAATCGCCATGGGTGTGTATCTATCGGGCTAAACCAGGGGTCTCAAACTCGCGGCCCGCGGGCCAAATGCGGCCCCCGGGACGGTAATTTGCTATTAAAGATATTAAAGATTAATGTTAGTGCGGCCCGCAAGACTTATATGAATAAAACTTGTATCACGGTGGGGTAAAAGGCTCCGAAGGGTGGTACATCGGCCATGCTGTCCAGTGCCTCGCTCACTCATTCATTCCTCCAGTCAGCTGGGCAGAAGAGAAGCCGTGAAGCCGCTGACTTTTTTGGGAAATCCTGATGCGGCCCAGCCTCTGCCTCCAGCGGCCCCCGGGTAAATTGAGTTTGAGACCCCTGGGCTATTCGCTTAATTGCATCAGAACAGTTTACTCTCTACACCGTAATAAAAATTGATTCTTCTTTTACATTTCCTCGTAATCTCCTCTATATATATACCGAGAATATTACTTCGCAAAGGACTAAAATAGGTCCTAGGGTTAACTCCATTAACAATGCTTCTGTGCAACATGATGATACTCAGCTAAACAGAACAGCATTACCTTCATCGATCAAAGCAACGGCTGGTTTCAACCCGTCAGTTGACTCCTTCACTATTGCCCAACCATTTGAACTGCTTAGATACTTGTCATCTCAATACTTTTGGAAAAAGGTTTCAATATAATTCCACAATTAATATAAAATCGGACTTAGGCTAGATAAAGGAAAAGATGTAAATCCAGTCACATGGAGACTGAAGACTAATATTCATCCTCGAATTCTTGTGTCAACCCAATCGTCCTTCAACTCAAAGAGTGAAGTAACCTGCCTATTCCACATATGTCCTTCAACCCTACCTAATCGAACAATCATTCTCTGGAACACCCTTGAGAGTTTCCTACAATTCGTCAGGTAAAGGAATAATACGTTTGCATGTAGAGGCGTGCTGTACTGCATTGTCCACGTGTAGAAGTTGTTTCTGGATTCTTATCAACTGAAGAACAGTCTTCTCCAGGGCCATCAGGTCATCGTATAACCGCTCAGCATTATAGCATGGAGGCTGCCACTAGTAGATGAAATGTTCCTCTTGGTTCAGACTAGCTCCACAGCTCGTGGTTACGGGTCGTATAGTGGATTCAGACAATCAACATGGAACAATCAGGACTATCCGCATTATCCCCTTCATTCTTCAAATCATCTGTCTGTAAGATATGACAATATCAAAGCCATGTTGGTGACCACCCTGTCCACCGCTTAACCTAGATGGCTAATTCGTGTTGTTTGTTTCATCTGTGTGGTTGATTAGCCTCACTCTGGATGCGGTCTCTCATGCAGTCTAGTATAGTACTTACCATGCTCGTTTGACCCCTCATGCATAGCCTTGTTACGTCTTTCACTCCCGGTACTTGCATTATTATCATTAGCTGCAATCCCTGCATTTGGTGAAAGGTCTGTTGTGGTTGTGTCGTGCCTAACATTATAAGAATTAGCGGCTTGTAGTCCATCAGAATCACCAGCATTCATACCAGGTAACACATAAGGACCATTTGATGAAACATTAGCTTCATCAGCATGGTTGTAATCTTCGGCAATCGCATCTGGTTCTAAGTCATCCTCTTCACTTCACTTCTGGAGTTCTACTTGAATCATCATTCGCTGGGAAACTCAGAACATACTCTTCTTCGCGAGTTTCTTTTTCGAAGGTACCCTCTGGTCTGATATCTGCATGTCTCCCTTGTGGTTATGGGCTTCTTGCTTCTGGGGCTAACGACCTCGGAATGCTGGCCTCCAGCGCGACCTTCATATTCCGACTGATAATAACTAATCAATAATAATAGGAACTCAGTGATTATAATAATAATAATGATAATAATAATAATAATAATAATAATAATAATGATAATAATAATGATAATAATAATAATAATAATAAAAATAATAATAATAGCACTAATGAATAATGATAACTATCCAATAATAATAATTCAGTAATGTTATAATAACTTTAATGAATAATAACAATAATATATATACATATATATACAATGATAATACCTAATCAATAATAATAGCAATTCAATAATAATAACTAATGAATAATAACTAAAACAACAATAATAATAGCAACTCAATAATAATAATGATAACTAATGAATAATAATAATGACAAAAAAAAATAGTAATTCAACAATAATAATAACTAATGAATAATAATAACTATATCAATAATAACAATAATAACTGATGAATAATAGTAATTCAATAAAAGTAATAACTGATGAATAATAGTAATTCAATAATAATAACTTAATAACTATAACAAACTATATAGCATTAGTAGTAATAATAATAACAATAGTAATAACAATAATAATAATAATAAAATAATAATAATGAAACGTCTGCGATTTTAACAGGCGAGCGAAAACATACGAAAATCTTTCCTGCTGGTATGGGGTTTCACTTCATTTATTATTATCGCTTATAACTCCACATAACGCACCCGACGTCTCTCTTGGCCTCATTGCTGCGAGTTACCTGCTTCCAGCCTTATTTCGAATGCCCTTTTTCCATCCATAATCACGAGCGACACGGCACTTCACCTTCTCAACATGAATCAGCATATTCACCTCGGCTGCCCTGTTGCATCGTTTACCCGTGACACTTCCTCAGGACTCTTGATATTGCAACTCGAAATGCCACGTTAATTTGAAGATTCCGTTCCGTCCCGCCATGCCCACCCGAGACGTGTTCTTAGCAAGTCGGCATGGGCGTACTTAGAGGTGATGATGAGGGTAATATACTAATTAAACAGTAGCAACTCAGTAATAGTATGTATAACTGATCGGTAGTAATAACTATGACACGAAAATATAATCAATATTCAACAACAGACGAGCAATGTTTAAGTGTCTCTTGTTTGCTTGGTTTTCACGGGCTGGCAATGCAGTGACAAAAAAAAAAGAAAGATAATAAAAAAATATGTATTATTTCTAGATTGACAGTCTAAATTTGTGATTGCATGACACTCGATCTCGTAGAGTTGCATCAATTACCGAGTCATGTGTTGATCTGCACGAATTAGAAAGACGATAAAATAGTGCTTTTCTTATAAACAATTTAATCGCGTCGTGAAAACAGGTCTCGGTTATCAGACCATTTGATTTGTCTGATTTTATTTCTCCGATATTTCATTTATCTGATTCTATCTCCTGTGTGGAATACTGAAGGGAATTATTGCTAGCTGTGGATTTCATGACCGTCTCTCCCTTTGCCTGATTTGCTATTAAATGAAGGGTGTTTAAGGTGAGTTGTGATAGATAGGGGAGTGTAGAGGAAATAGAAGAATTTAAGAATAAATAGATCAGGTGTAGAGGCAATAGATGGATTTGATTTTGGATATTGTGGGGTAAAAGCGTCGTTTTGTTGTGTTAGGAATAGAGTAATTGAGGAAATAGAGTAAATAAGTAGAGTAGAATAAGGGAATGGAGTCAGGAATTGTATCTATTCTCAGTGCCTTTCAGGTTGTGGTGTTGGTGTCAATCCCTACAAAGATAGGGAAAAAATAAGAACATAGCTCAAAACAGAGGTAAAAACTGCATTCCATTATATGTGAAATAATCAGTGCAGACAAAGTGCTAAAATAAAGAATATTTGGTCATGAAAAATGATGGGTGGAGACTAAGTTCACATTAGACTTTAGGGTTTTTTTGTGGGCAGAACCTTCGCCAAGGGAGAAAAAACGGGGATAGGGATGGGGTACAGGTAATGCCCCAGTGTCAGGAAGGGTTTTAATTTAGAAGGTGACGTGCCCTCAGGGTTGATGGCTTGGAGTAACACGGACAGATTAATTTGTGATTAGAAATACCTTCATACTTATTGCACCAAGGGTTCTGGTGTTTATTAAACAGTATATTTTCCATTTCCAAAGGTATTTTTAGACCAAGTGCTTGAAAATGCCTTTATGAAATGTTTTGATACATTGATAAATACATTATTGCATTATAATCGTATGATTGTATTACATCAATTTAAGCATAACAATCCTTAGGTTATATATGAAAGTTAAAGAAAACAAAACATTTAATAAATGTATTTTTGGACACTTGGTCAGAGAGAACCACTGGATGTACATATGCCCATTTATAAAAAAAAGTACATTCTTTAATGTTTATTTTTTTAATTTTCAATAAGATGAGAGAAGACACTGAGAACCCAAATCAACAAACCATTCTTACGATGATAGAGTTAATGTGACAGAAAATGGCTTGCATGAGAATTGCACTTTTATTTTGAAATGCAACTTTGGCTTGAGATCAACAGGTATGCTGTGTTCTTATAATCTTGTACAACTAGGTTTTTAATATATATTTATACATTTTTACTGTATATCTGTGCATTATTGCAACTGTGATGTTATTTACATTGCTTTACTAAGTGGGTGGATATATATATATTTTTATCATGTTTGGATGAAATGTATAAACATTTTGTTTAAAAAGAATGGGGCAATTATTTAGTTCTATAATTTATTGCATATATAGCTGTCAGTCTGTATCATTCTATGTAATGTCTGTCTCAATCTTTCTGTTTATCTATCAATCTTATCTGAGTATCTGTGTCTTTTCTAACCATCCATTTCTCTATTCTTCCATCTGTCCATCCTTTCTTCCTTCCTTCTTTCCTTCCTTCCTTATTTCCTTCCCTCCTTCCTTCCTTCCATCCTCCTTCCTTCCTTATTAGCTTCCATCCTTCTTTCTTTCCTTCCATCCTTCTTTCCTTACTTACTTATTTCCTTCCCTCCTTCCTTCCTACCATCCATCCTTCCCTCCTTCCTTCCATCCTTCCTTCCTTTCATCCTTCTCTCCGTCCTTCCTTCCAATCATTTATCAATTCACCCATCTATCAGTCCATTCATCCATTATTAATTCATCCACCCAGCCATCTGTCTATCTGTCTAGCCATCTATCTATCTATCTATCTGTCTATCTATTTATCTCTCTATCTCTCTATCTATCCATTTATTTGTCTGTCTATCCATCCATCCATCTATCCATCCATCCATCTGTCAATGTATCTATCTATCTGTATGTTTATATATTGCAGGGAACCAATGCAGTAAAATGAAATAAAGAAGAAAGATAAAGATAAAAAGCTAAAGAAAAAAGAGGTGCTAGAAAACTTGCACAGAAAAGAAGACACTTAAATGAATATCCAACATTGCTCATCATGTCCCAGAACCCAGCAAGGAACACAGATCTGCCGGCATTAAAGGGGAAAGTTTATGACAAGCTGCGAGACCTCTTCGAGAATGGCCACTCGCCAGCGACGGCCTTCGATGTCCTTAAGCACGACCTTCACCTACAGGAAGGGAGGAATTACATGAGAGCAAAGGCCAACAAGGATGACTTCCCTGATCTTCATTACTGCTTCAGGTGCAGGATTCGGATTAATTTGGCTGTGTGTGTGTGTGTGTGTGTGTGTGTGTGTGTGTGTGTGTGTGTGTGTGTGTGTGTGTGTGTGTGTGTGTGTGTGTGTGTGTGTGTGTGTGTGTGTGTGTGTGTGTGTGTGTGTGTGTATATGTGTGTGTGTGTATGTATGTGTGTGTGTGTGTGTGTGTGTGTGTGTGTGTGTATGTGTGTGTGTGTGTGTATGTATGTATGTGTGTGTGTGTGTGTGTGTGTAGCAAATTATCTTTTTATTGGAAGGGTTAACCCAGTGGCCCTATATGGTAAAAATACATGCCATGTCCACTGTAATTTTAGTTTAATTAATTGTTTACTCTCTTCCTTGATTTTTGGAAGGATTTTTAAAAACTGGTTTATAGTTTTTATTGTTAATATGATCATAATAATCATAATGTCAGTAATAACAATAACAGCATTGATATGAATGGCATTAGAAAAAAAAATCTGCAAATTCAAAGAATGAAGAAATTAGGCATGGTCAGTAGGGGCTACTAATTGACTCCTTGGGGACTGAACACTTGTGGAGCCATCTGTATGCAACAATATTCACAAACGAAAACTACGATAGATAGGACATAATTCTGGGGAAATTAGGTTAATAACTTCATCTCTTTTCTTGTATTAATAATGCAAAATTAATTTTTTCAGACTGTACAACATGTTGTCCCTAGGGGAAGACAGGGCCCTAAGCAGCTTGAAACTAAAGCAAAATTTAGAAGCTCTGGTGGAACAGTTTAACAAATCTGAGGGAGATGTTTGTGCCGCTGTGAAAGTGACTAAACAGGATAGTGTGGTGGTAGCCCTCTGCACCCCCTTGATGAAGAGGGTTCATATCCATCTGGATAACTGTGGTGAGGTGTGTTTCCTTGACACGCCAAGTGCCTCTTTTCCCACAGACTGTCGCCCTTATTTCTTCATTAGTCACAGTGTTGCTGGAGGGTTGCCGTTAGGTGTTGCTATTATAGATAAGGTTAATGAAGACACGCTCTTTGAAGCATTTGAACTTTTGAAAACTATTTTGCCTGTAAATGCCTTTGGTGGACGCAATCTTTTGGGACCCAAAATTATCTTGACAAGGAGGTCTCAAATTGAACAAAATTCAATAGCACGGGCTTTTCCCTTAGTAACAACCATAGTGTGCTGCCTTCATCTCATCCAGTCTGTGTGGCATAATATTCTGTTAAAGAGTATTAGATCAGACAATCACCGAGCAAGATTAATGAAGCTTCTGAAGAACATGGTGCATGCAAACTCACAGGTTGAGATGTACCAGAGAATGACACAAATGCTAGAGGACTCCGTCGTATCTAAGTACCCTTCCTTCAGGACGTACGTGATAAATGAGGTGTATGGCCGTCGCGAAGACTGGTTGGACAGATGGGAGAAACATGCAAACCTCCGTAGTACCTACTACAAGCACATCTTTACTCTCAGTCGGCAAGTGCTTGGTGACAAGATAATGCACCGCTGTAGGACTTATAATATACCTCGGTTGTTCCACTTCTTCATGACGCGGCTTGATAACTACTACAAACATCGGCTTGAGGGCATTATCAGCGGTAAACCAGTTATGCAGACTTATAAGTATATGCCCATTGCAACTGTTGTAGATCATGATAAGAATGTAAAGGTAGGTATGATATAATTAATTATCATGTTTTATGAATTACTGGAGATGTTTGATTGTTCATTGTAAAAATAAGTACATTATTCATTAATTGCAGCATATAAGAAATATATTTTTTGGACAAATTCCACCATGTTTTATTGGATATCAATAGTTACATCAATGAATTTATGCACATTATAGCTTCAGCATTTAAACCAGCTTTGATGAAGTTTAGAGAGCAAAGCAAGCACCTTGAAAAAATATGTCAAAAGCATAAATCAAATAATGTTTCATGTTGTTACCTGTATGTTTTTATTTATTTACTAATTTAGACAGTTTTATATAATTATTCTTATTATTATTAAAAATATTATAGGTATTATCATTTTTATTACTGTTATTATTATTGTTATTCTTATTCTTATTATTACTATTACTATTATGATTCCCAGTATTATTGATATAGTTATTATTATTATTATTATTATTATTATTATTATTGATAATGATAATGATAATAATGATAAAGAAAATGATGATGTTGATGGGAATTGTTTTTATTGTTATTATTATTATTATTATTATTATTATTATTATTATTATTATTATTATTATTGTTATTATTATCATGATTATTATTATTATTATCATGATTATTATTATTATTATTATTTTTATTATTATTATTTTATTATTATTGTTATCATCATCATCATCATCATCATCATCATCATCATCATCATCACATCATCATCATCATCATCATCTCATCATCATCATCATCTCATCATCATCATCATCATCATCACATCATCATCATCATCATCTCATCATCATCATCATCATCTCATCATCATCATCACATCATCATCATCATCTCATCATCATCATCACATCATCATCATCATCACATCATCATCATCATCACATCATCATCATCATCACATCATCATCATCATCATCTCATCATCATCATCATCATCTCATCATCATCATCATCATCATCTCATCATCATCATCATCTCATCATCATCATCACATCATCATCATCATCTCATCATCATCATCATCTCATCATCATCATCATCTCATCATCATCATCATCATCATCATCACATCATCATCATCATCATCATCACATCATCATCATCATCATCATCTCATCATCATCATCATCATCATCATCATCTCATCATCATCATCATCATCATCATCATCATCATCATCATCATCATCATCATCATCATCATCATCATCATCATCATCATCATTATCAGTATTATTGTTATTATTATTATTATTAGTAGTAGTATTGTTATCATTATTGTAATCATTGCTAGTATTATTACTATTTTCATTACTATTGACCATATTTATTTTATAACACTCCATATGTATCATTATTCCAGCTAAACGAAGACTACTACGTCATCACGACCAAAGGCAGCATGATAGAAAAGCACAGTCTTGATCTTTTCGCTAGTGTGTGTTCCTGTAATGTGGGTCGCAGGGGGAGCCCTTGTCAGCATCAGGCGTCTTTGATCTGCAAGTACAATTTGCTTCCCTACAGCCCTCACTTGAAATACGACGTGAACTTGAAAAAATCCATGAAGTACATAGCAACAGGTATGTTAATGAAGGAAGTTGGTGTGGGGAATGTGCGGTTTTATGGTTGGATATTTATGTGGTACATGATGAGAGAAACGATTGAGGATATCACTGCTGCTTTTAACAGTAGTCGTAATGGTGATAGAATTAATTACGGCAGCATTGATAATGATAAGAATGGTAATAATATAATGTTATATAATAGTGATAGTAATAAGTACTAGACT